AGGAAACTTTCTAAGTCAAATACATGATAATACTTTTATGTACCAACTTCTGTTTGTTTACAAATGGTAATTCAAATACAAATGACTGCTCAGAAAAGTAATTTTAAAATTAGATATAATTTTAATGGAATGATAAAAGTTCATACTGAAAGAGGCCAAAACCAAAAAGCTCATACCTCACCTGTGAATGCAAGTAGTATTACTGGTGGCTCAAGGCTCACCACCCAGAGAAAAATCTGTGCCTCTAACACATGATGATCATATATAAAAATAGATTTTAAGGAAAACAGATTATTAAAACATAAACAACAAAATTCTTGATGACTTTTAAGTTAAAAAGGGTTAATTCATCAAGAAGACAATTATAAACATATATGTACTAAATGACAGAACCTAAAAACAGGTAGCAAAAACTGACAAAATTGAAGGGAGAAGTGGGCAGTAACTCACTTTCAATAATTGAAAGAACTAGACAGAAGACCAACAAAGAAATAAAAGATTTGAACAACACAATAAACCAACTAGATCTAACAAATATCTACAGAACACTCCACCAAAAACAGCAAAATACACATTCTTCTCAACTGTACATGCAACATTCTCCATGATAGACTATATATAAGACCATAAAACAAGTCTCTTTTTTTTTTTTTTTGAGTCAGGGTCTCACTATCACTCAGGCTGGAGTGCAGTGGTACAATCACGGCTGACCACAGCCTTGACCTTCTAGGCTCAGAGGACCCTTCTACCTGAGTTTCCTGAGTAGCTAGGACTACAGGTCAGCGGCACCATGTCTGGCTCATTTTTTTTATTTTCTTGTAGAGACAAGGCCTTGTTATGTTGCCTAGGATGGTCTAGAACTCCTGGGCTCTAGCAGTCCTCCCACCTCAGCTTTCCAAAGTGCTGAGACTACAAGCATGAGTTACTGCTCCTGGCTGAAGTCTCAATACTTTTTTTTTTTTTTTGAGTTGGAGTCTCACTTTGTCGCCCAGGCTGGAGTGCAGTGGCACGCTCCCAGCCACCGAAGCCTCCACCTGCTGGGCTCTGGTGATCCTTCCGCCTCAGCCTTCCAAGTAGCTGGAACTACAGGTGCACGCTACCACGCCCTGCTAATTTTTGATTTATTGTAGAGATAAGTTCTCACCAAGTTGCCTGGGCGGGTCTCGAACCCGAGGACTCAGGCAATCCAATCACCTTGGCCTCCCAAAGCGCTGGGATTACAGGCTGAACCAACAAGCCCAGCTCAATACTTTTAAGAAGGATTAAATCCCATAAAGTGTGTTGTCTGGTCACAGTGGAATGAAATTAGAAATCCGTAATAAAAGGAAATTTAGAAAATTCACAAATGTGTGAAAGTTAAACAACAAATTTCTAAATAACCAATAGGTCCAAGAAGAAATCATAAGAAAAATTAGAATATAATTAGAGATAAATGAAAATAAAACCACAACATGCCAACATTTGTGAGATATTAAACTATGGGATGCTAAAGCAGTTCTTCCCAGGAAATTTATAGGTGTAAATGCCTACATAAGAAAGAAGGAACATCTCATGTCAATAATTTAAACATTCCATGCTAAGAAACTAGAAAAACAAAAACCAACTAAACCCAAAGCAAGCAGAAGAAAGAATGTAACACAGATTACGGCAGAAATAAATGAAATAGAAAACACAAAAATAATAGAGAAAATGAACAAAACCAAAAGTTGGTTCTCTAAAAAGACCAAAAACCTTGACAAACCCTTATCAATAGTGATCAGATAAAATAGTGACCAATAAAAAATAGAAAACTACTAACATCAGGAATGAAGAGGGGACATTCTTACCAATCTTCCATAAATAAAAAAAACTCTAAGGGAATACGACAAACAATTTCTGCCAACGAATTAGGTAGCCTAGACCAAATGGACAAATTCCTAGATAGATACAGTTAGCAAAACTGGCCAAAGAAGAATACAATATGAATAGACAAATAAGTCGAAACAGAATTAGTAACCAAAAAATTTCCTGCAATGAAAAGGTCAAGACCCAGTGGTTTCACTGGTGGATTCTACTAAATATTTGAAGATTAACACCAATCCCTTACAAGCTTACAAAACAAAACAAAACGAAAACAAAAATAAAGCCAACTCATTCTGTAAGACCAGTATTAATCTGATACCGACATCAGAGAAAGAAATCACAAAAAGACGAAAGCCTCAGACCAATATATGTTATCAATACAGATGCTAAAATCGCCAATAAAATATGAACAAACCAAATCCAGCAACATATAAAAAGGATTATATATGAACAAATGGGATTTATCTCTGAAATGTAAAATATAAAATATTTAAAATAAAAAATATGATTTAAAATATTAAAAAATCAGACAAAATATTAATAGATGAAAAGAGAAAATGATATGATCATCTCAATAGAGAAAATGTATTTGATAAAATATAACAATCTTTCATAATAAAAACACTGAACAAGCAGAAGAAAATAAGTACAAGGAAAGACACAGAAGGAAAGTTTCTTGCCCTGAGGAAGGGCCTCTATAAAATCCCACACATAACATCATAATCAATGGAAAGCTTTCTCCCTGAGACTACAAATAAGACATAAATATCTGTTCATACCACTTCTACTCAACATTGTATTGGAGTATTCAGTAAGAACAATTAGGTAAGGAAAAGAAATAAAAAGTAACCCAATTGGAAAGAAAAAAGTAAAACTTTATCTTAGATAATTTGCCGATGACATGGCCCTGTATAGAAAAAATCCTGAAGAATCAAAAAAAAAAATCTATTAAAAGCATAAATGAGGCTGAACACAGTGGCTCATGCCTATAATCCCAGCACTTTGGGAGGCCAAGGTGGGAGAATTGCTTGAGCCCAGGAGTTTTGAGACCAGCCTGGGCAACATAGTAAGACCTTGTCTCTACAGAAAATTAAAATACATACATACATAAAAGTATAAGCAAGTTCAGCAAGAGAAATTATAGGATACAAGATTAGTATACAAAAATCAATAGTATTCCTATATACTAGCAATGAACAATCTGAAAATGAAATTTAAAAAACAATTCCATTTACAATAGCATAAAAAAGAATACAATACTTAGGATAAATTTTACCAAAGATGTGAAAAATATGTACACTAAAAACTACAAAATATAACTGAACAAAAGTAAAAAGGTCTAAATAAATGAAAAAATATTCCTTATTCATGGATTGAAAAATTCAATCCAGTTAAGATGGCAATATTTCCCAAACTGATTTACAGATTCATGTAATCCTTAACAAAATGACAGCTGTTTATTTTGCTGTCGTTGTTTTTTAACAAATTGAAAAGTTAATGCTAAAATGAACACGGAAACACAAGGGACCCAGAACAGCCAAAAAAATCTTGAAAAAGAACAAAGTTGGAAGACTCACACATCCTGATTTCAAAACTCACTATAAAGTTTCAGTAATCAAAACAGAGTGATACTAGCGTAAGAGAGAAAAAAGACTGGAAAAAAAAACTGAAAAGAGAGAGCCTCAGAAACCTGTGAAATGACAATAAAAGAACAACTTTTGTATCTCCAGAGTATAAGGGAACTGGTCCACCATAGCTCCCTGGTGACTTGCACATTTCCACATACGCTATGCAGGCCACAGCTCAAACAGCAGATAATCTGAGCCTTGGTTGAATACCTTGTGATCTTCATGGAACATGAGAAGACAGGATGCCTGAGGCTTTTGGGACTAGCTCCTTCATGTTTTTCTATGCTGTTCTATCTCCTCCAGGAGGCTGTCATGAGACAGGTTCCGATGAGGTACTGTTCTGATGAGGTATGGAACTTCCTCTCTCAGAAAATAAAATCTCTTTAAGCAGTCAAGAAGTAGCTGCTCAGCATGAGGTACCTCACCAGTCACATTCTAATTAGCCAACTCTTTGTGAACTGGCTCCTTAGGCTTCTTCTTTGATCATGTAAGTAACAAACTGCCTAAACCTAAAAGTGGTTGTTGTCTCTTATGTCTTACATGTTCCTTCAGTCAGGCCTCAGCCTCCATCTTGCCTTGGACAACGTGTGTGCCTGACATGGAGTTCCAGAAGGAGTGGAAAAAGAACACAGGTCTGAAAAAGTACTCAAACAAATAACCACTAAAAACTTCCAAATTGGAGCCAGGCTTAGTGGCTCAGCCTGTAATCCTGCGCCTTGGGAGGCTGAGGTGAGTGGACTGCCTGAACCCAAGGGTTCGAGACCCACCTGGGCAACTTGGCGAGACCTAATCTCTACAATAAATCAAAAAATCAGCCAGGCGTGGTAGCGCATGCCTGTAATTCCGGCTACTCGGAAGGCTGAGGCGGAAGGATCCCCGGAGCCCAGCAGGTCAAGGCCGCAGTGGCCGGGAGCGGCCACTGCACTCCAGTCTGGGTGACAGAGTGAGACTCCAACTCAAAAAAAAAAAAACAACTTCCAAATTTGGCAAAAGATAGAAATCTACAGAAGCAAGATGCTGAGGGAACCCCAACAAAGATAAACCCAAAGAAACTGTGCCATGATATCACAATTAACTTCTGAAAAGACAAAAATTTTAAAAGCAACCAGAGAAAAATAATGCATTATGTCTGTGGGGAAAACAACTGGAATGGAAGTGAATACCTCATCCACACAGATGCCCACAGACAGTTACTAAGCTCTGATTTAATCTACTGCAGCCACAGTGGTCTGATCTAGATACTCCAAAGGTGTATGGGCATTTCATGCTGTGTTTTTTCATATACTAAGAATGTCCTTCCCTCTTCTCACCACTCTAAGGAATTCTGCTTGTCCTTCAAGGCCTAACGCAAGCCTCACTTCACCGCTAAAGTTCTCCAGGTGCTCAAAACCTTTTCTAATTTTGTCAACACATGTTAAGTTTTAACTTATTGTTCACTTACCATAATTCAAAATTTTACTTAAAGCCTCTACAAGGAAAGCAAACTGTAAGGATATCCTTAAGCAATCAAATTTCTAACGCAATACTTACGGCCATTCTGATCCAGGCTGCTTTTGGTGAGCACCTATGACATCAATTGCAATATTGAGGTTTTCTTCCAGTTCTCTCATTCTTTCATGATTAAGGCATGTAAACAAAATCATTGAAGAGTAGGCAACGATTTTTTTGTCTGGATGATTTAAGCAAGACCTTCCAAATAAAGAAATGTGATTGTGAGCCCAATTTAGCAATACAATAAAATACTATTACAACACATCAATAACAGTAGTCCCCCCTTAGCAAATTCAGTACATACTGATGTTTTTAAGGATTTGATGAAGAACAATATCACTTTGAAATAAGCAAATTCACTGTTAAAAACAGCATATATAAAATTAGTAACAATAAAAAGTATCTAATACTAAAGTTGCAGCTGACTTAGGACTTGGGAGTGAAAAGCAAGTAACATTTGATTAGAGGAAAAAAATTAAATGATTACATTTATAAAGCACTAAAATGTTCATTCTTGTTAGAAAACTCAACAGGTAAAAAATAATATCTCACATCACTTTAATAGTTACTAGTGAAGAATGTCTACAGAGTTTAGAGTCAAAAGACTCAGTATAACTTCTAGCTCATAAACCTATGAGTTACTTTTTCCTGATCTCAGGAAGTCACTAATTTATTCACTGTCAATAATATCATGGCCTATGTACTATGACCATATTTTTTTTCATTTAAACGACATAATACTCTTCTGAGGGAAGTATTATCCACATACTTCAGATAAAGAATCTGGCTTGCCTCACTTGCCCAACAGCACAAAGCCAGTACCTGACAAAACTGGAATTCAAATCTGGTTATACCTATCTCACAAACTCATAAAGAATGAAGTCACATAACCTCTTTCAATATGTAAAAATGAAATACAATAGCGAGAACTTCTCTGACTATCTCAGAGGACTTTTGTGAAGTTCAAATGAGATAATGTAAAAAACACCATATAAACTATTAAGATTTCTCTGACTGCACTTAGGCCTCTCCGGTTTTTCTATTACATACTGGATTTACCCTAAATATATTAGTTCTTATACTACAATATACTTGCCTTTCCTTTATTTCCCCCACCAAAGCATGGAATCTTTAGGAATAATGAATATATTTCTAAGATACCACTGTATTTTAATCACCTAGCTCAAAATCTGGCATATATTTGGTATGCAAAATATCTGAAGGAATGAATTCTCAAAAATGAGTCATACCTATTTCTGTAGCTCTAATCTCATTCTTTTCTTCTACCTAAGCCCAATTATATATTAATCAATCATAGGGATGATATATATATATATATATATATATATGTATATATACCTTCAACTTTAATTATTTACAGGAATTTGAGAGATAAACTCAGTGAGCTAGAACTGAATTATTGAGTTCATCTGACCTTAACACCATACTTCACAGATGAGCCCAGAAAACCTGCACAACCAAGGAAGACAACACAGAATTTAGGCAGCATGGTATTTACAACGAGCTTAGGCTTTGGATGTAAACAGCAGCATTGGGTTTACAGCTACATCATTTACCTGCGACAAGCTTCAGATCTCTGATCTGTATAAATGGGGGTAGTACCACTTATCCTGCAGGGCTACTGTAAGAACAGGAATAATATACAGAAAACGCCCAGCTTAGGGTATTTACACAATAGCTGCTGCCCTGCTGCTCATACTGTTGCAACCACTAGAGTCACCCCAATCACTGACACCAAAGCCTGGGTTAGAAGTCAGGTCATGCACTCCAAGACAGTGCCTTTTCTACAAACTATCTTGCCTCTATTACCTGTTCACCTTTTACCTCAATGGTCAATTTATTATGAACTGACAGAGCTGGTCTTTAAGAAGGATTAGATCACCATGAAAAGCACCAGGATCCAATCTACATAATAGACTGGTTATCCAGATCTTACACTGATAAACAAACTGACTATACACTTTTTACACTGATTAAGTAATAAGTTATCCACTTCTTATATTAATAAACAGATTAGTTATCCACAGCTTACAATTCTCCAAATCTACCAAAACACATAGCATTGTGCTGAGCATATAAGACGTATTCAATAAATAAATAAAAATTCATCGCCCATACTTTGATGTTTTTTTCTTACAAATTTCTGTTAAAAATATTATTTACTTTAACTATGACTTTTATTTTCTTATGCCTGTAGGTGCAAGACCAGCCCAGGCAACTTGGTGAGACCTCGTCTCTACAATAAATAAAAAATTAGCCAGGCATAATAGTGCATGCCTGTAGTTTCAGCTGCTCGGAAGGCTGAGGTGGAAGGATCGCTGGAGCCCACCAGGTAGATGCTGGGGTGGCCGTTTAAGTGTGCCCCACTGCACTCAAGGCTGGGTGACAGAGTGAGACTGCAACTCGAAAAAATATATATGTATACTGACAAATAAGGGTACAAACTTTAAGTGTACATACAGCTCAATGAATGTTTAGAAATGTACCCATCTATGTAACCACCACCCAGATTAAGATATAGACAAAGATACTTCCAGGACCCAGAAGTTTCCCTTGTCCCTGCTCCCAGTCAGTACCTACCCATCACCACCCACCAAGAACTTTATTACTTGAACTCTATTACCATAGGTCAGTTTTTCCTGTTTGTGAACTTTATATAAATGGAATGATATAACAGATCTTCTCAGAAGTTAAAAAAATTCTCACTAATATACTCACAAAAAGAGTTCTGGGAAAGCATACATCCAAACAATAAACTGGGAATCTTCATTCCGTGAGGCAATATTGCCTAAAAACTGCAGGCCACAGCGAAAAGCTGAAAATATATAAAAGCAAAAAAAAAAAAAAACACAATGAATATGATTAAACACAATGAATATATATATATAAATCTTAACAAAAAATATCCCCCATGTTATTAAACAGACGTTTTCACTTGCTTCTTTAAAATATGATGTAAATACAATGTAACTTTGCAAATAACATTAATGTGCCTTACCAAAACAACATCCTCTATACAAAGTTAACTTATTAAAAAATATTGTAAATGTAAACACAGATATATCTGTAATTACATTAAATATCTATGGAATACACGCTTCAATTAAAAGACCATTACACTTAAACTGTATTTTTTAAATAGATATATCTAAAACTACATGCTATTGAAAAGAGATATATCTAAAACATAAGATTACAGAAATATTTAAAGTTAAAGAATGGTAAAAAGATATGTCAGGCAAATACCAGCCAAAAAAGCAAGACACAGACCACTTGCAATCCAATAAAATAAACTCTAACATAAAAAGCATTAGAAATTTGTTTTATAAGTTATTACAGAATGATTTTAATTCACCAAAAAGATATGACAATTAAATGAAATGTACCTAATAACATGGCCTTAAAATATACAGAAGAAAATAATAAAAATATAGAGGAACGAGAGCAATCAACAATTAAATTGGCAATTAAAATATATCTTTCTCAAAGAAAAATAAAGTATACCTTCCTCAGCAACTTAAAGAACAAGCAGACAAAAATATCCACATATTTAAACATTTGAATAAAAGTGAATAAACTAGTTGACATATTTAAAATAGTCACCAAATAAAGCTACAGAATATTGGCCAAAATTCAGAACATTGACAACACCAAATGCTGACAAGGATATGGAACAACAGGAAATCTCATTCATCGCTGGTGGAAATGCAAAATGGTACAGCCACTTTGAAAGAAAGTTTGGCAGTTTCTTACAAAGCTAAACGTATTTTACCATAAAATCTTGCAATTGTGCTCTTTAGTATTTACCCAAAGGGGCTGAAAACTTACGCCCACACAAAAACCTACACACACAACTTTACAGCAGTTCTACTTGTAATTGCCAAAATTTGGAAGCAATCAAGATGTCCTTCAATAGGTGAACGAATACATAAATAGTAAAATCAGACAATGTTATATTATGAAGGAAACTTAAATACACATTATTAAATGTAAGAAGCCAATCTGAAAAGGCTACATACTGTATGATTCCAACTATATGACATTCTGGAAAAAAACAAAACTATGGAAATAGTAAAAAGGTCAGTGAATGCCAGGGGACAAGGGGGAGGAAAGGATGAATAGGCAGAGCACAGCAGAATTTGGGGGCAAACTATTCTGTTGGATACTATAGTGGTGGATACATAGCACAATACATTTCCCCAAGCCCACAGAATATATGACACCAAGAATGAACCCAAACGTAAACAATGAACTTTAGGTGATAACGTGTAAATGTAGGTTCATCAATTCTAACAAATGCATCATTCTGGTGAGGGATGTAAATAAGAGGGGAGGGGTTATGCATGTGTTAGGGCATGGGGTATATGTAAAATCTCTGTATCTTTCTCTCAATTCTGTTGTGATCCTAAAATTGCTTTAAAATATAAGCCTGTTACAAAACAAAGTATGTTATTTTACTGTTAAAAAAAAAAAAAAGACCAGGTGTGGTGGCTCACACCTGTCATTCCAGCACTTTGGGAAGCAGAAGCAAGAAAACTGTCTGAGCCCAGGGGTTCGAGGCCAGCCTGGGAAACTTGGCGAGACCTCATATCTACAATAAATTTTAAAAATTATCCAGGAAAGGAGGCATGTGCCTGTGGTCCCAGCTACTTGGAAGGCCTAAGTTCAGCAGGTATAGACTGCAGTAGCTATAAGCATGCCACTGAACTCCAGAATGGGTGACAGAGTAAGACCCCCTAGTGTCCCTCCTACCCGAAAGACTTAAGTTCAATTCCCAATATAATGTAAACATGGGCAAGAAATTTAGATTTTTATAAGATCCAGTATCCTCCCTGGTATTATAGAGATGTTGTCTGGGGTTTCTGCAGGATTACTGCAAGGATGAAATGTGAACCTATTGACAGTGCTGAGCATGTAATAGAGAACACAATTAATGCTCATCTGACCACCCTCTTTACCAGCACGCAGGTTGATTTGATAAATGTTAGCTTAAAAAGTCAGATTTCCAAGTGCTAAATAAAAACATGTGTTTGCTCCTGTGCTTGGAGAACCTAAGAGAAACCCTGAGTACTTCACAGAATCTTACTTCTGAGACAGGTACTATTATTCTCATTTGAGGACACAGGAAACCAAGATACATGAAGGGTAAGTTACTTGACCAAAGTTCCACAATTATCAAGTACTACACGTGTGGGTTTATTCCTGTGGTTGTGCTTATCAAGAGCTCTAATTGGTCATTACATATGAATCTGATTAACGAAAGAGAAAAAAATCTTAAAAACCTGTGGAATAGCTCAGTCTGTCATCCCAGCACTTTGGGAGGCCAAGGCAAGTGGATTGCCTGAGCCCGCGGGTTCGAGACCTTATATCCACAATAAAAACATCAAAAATTAGCCAGGCTTGGTAGCACATGCCTGTAGTTCTGACTACTTGGAAGGCTGAGGTGGAAGGATGGCTGGAGCCCAGCAGGTTGACGCTGGGGTGGCCATGAGCATGCCACTGCACTTCAGCCTGGGACACACAGTAGACTCCAACTCAAAAAAAAAAAAAAAACAAACCTGTAGAATACACAGTCTTTTCAAGGACATATATAACATATCATAAAACAATATTTCACCACATAATGGAAGACAACTCTCAGAAAATGTTAAAGGGCTGATATACAGATAATGATCCCTTACCAGATGATAATTATGCTAGATATAAATCCCAAAAACAATTAGAAAATCCTTATATGTTTAGAACATAAGAGGTATACTTTTAAATAATCCATGGAGACAAAAAATAAATTCTAATGGAAATTTTAAAAATATTTTGAGTAGAATGTTAACAAAAACACTGCAAACCATAATTTTGAATACAAAGCTTTAAAAGTACATAGAGGAAAATGTATAGCTTTGAAATACAAGTTGTATGTTGGGAAAGAATGGTTAAAATAAATGTGCTAAGTACTCATCTCAGGAAATTACAAAAATGACAGCCAAAAGAATGAAGAAAGGAAATAAAGATTAAGGGCAAGAAATTATTAAAATGGAAAACAATCATAAAATAGAGACTATCAACTAATTCAAAATTTCATTCCTCAAAAAGCTCACTAGTGACCAATTTCTGGGAAGACTAATCAAAACAGAAAAAGTACAAATAAAAAACACATTAAATTTACAAAAATGAAAAAGAAAATACTGTTACAGAACTTGAGACATCAAAAAAGAAAAATCACAAGATGTTACAAATAACATTATTCCAAACTGAAAATTTAAATAAAATGAACAAAATTCTAGAATATAACAAAAAAAAAAAACTTGACTCCGAAAAAAAGTCTGTAAAATATTCAGGGAAAGTCTGAATTAATTATAATGTACATTAAGCGCATTTGATAAAATTCAATATCTATTCATAATTTTTTTTAAACAAAAAGCAAACTTCTTTATTGTACACAATACAGAATATAACACAGCTTTGGCAGGATGCACATGGCCCTGTGCAAACCTAAAAACTGAGATAATTCAAACCTAAAAACTGAGAAACAGAAGGGGGCTTCTCTAACCTAAAAATAGATATCAACAAAAAATCTATAGTGAATATTATATAATTAATGGCTAACTGTGGAGACAGCATGCTCCTTTTGAAAGGGAATGAGTCAGGTTGGGCTCAGTAGCTCCAGGAAGCCAAGACGAGTGGATTGCCTGAGCCCGCAAGTTGGAGACCAGTCCAGGCAACTTGGCGAGACCTCGTCTCTACAATAAACCAAAAATTAGCCGGGCGTGGTAGAACACACCGTGGACTCCAGCTACTTGGAAGGCTGAGGCAGAAGGATAGCCAGAGCCCAGCAGATTGATGCTGGAGTGGCTGTGAGTGTGCCATGGCACTCCAGCCTCGACAACAGAGTAAGACTGCAACTCAAAAAAAAAAGAAAATGAAAGGGAATGAGTCAAAAGTACCTGTTACCACCATTTCTAGGCAATACGGTACTGAAAAATCTCAGCCAGAAAGACAAACAAAAGGCCTAGGGGTTGGGGGGAAAAAAATCAAAATGTGACTGTTCCCCCACAGATTAAATAAGGTATGCAGAAAATATTTTTAATGCATATTCAGAGGAGAGTAAAACTATAAAACTTGACTGAGAGAAATTAAAGAGTAAATAAATAAGTGAAGAATTATACCATACTCACAGAGAAGACCCAACTTTTATAGAGACATTAAATGTAATGAGTCAATCACAATAGGGTTGTGTGGTTTTGTATGTGAAATTTCACATACCAGAGGATATGTTTATGTTTGTAATTTGATATGATGATTCTAAAATTTATGTGAAAATACACAGGGCCAAGAATATCTAAGACACTGTTGAAAAGTAACTAAGAGGACAATAAGCAATTATAGGTAAATAAAGTTTAGCCATGTGAACAGTTCCCCATTTTGTCAGAAATGTTACTTGGATACATCTGACTTTGATAAATTGCTGAGTTTGTATTACTATCATATAATTAAAATTCTAAAATGAAAGCTACAAGATCTTTATTTATGTGTGAATGTGTGCTTAGGTGTGAACGTGTGCTTAGGTATATTTATGCATATGCACATGTATTATGCTTTTTGTTTTGTCTACATGGTAAACTCTGGAATCAGTCAGAAATTTCTTGAGGATCTGGATTGGCTTATATAAATGAGCACTCATATAAAATATAGAGGTGTTTTTTTTTTTAAACTTGAGAAACCAGGATTTATTGAGAGGACAGAAAAGCTCCCACAGTGGGAGAGGACCTAAGGAGGTTATTAACCCAAATGCTTTTTAGTTCACATGACTGAGGTAAA